CTCTCTGTCTCAAATAAATAAATAAAATCTTTAAAAATAAATAAATAAAAATAAAAACATCCCAAATCAGGGCACCTGGGTGGCTGAGTCGGTTAAGCATCTGCCTTCGAGGTCATGATCTCAGGGTCCTGGGATCCAGCCCCACGTTGGGCTCCCTGCTCAGCAGGGAGTCTGCTTCTCCTTCTCACTCTCCCTCTGTGCTCTCTCTCTCTCTGTCTCTCTCAAATAAATAAAGAACTAAAAAATAAAATAAAATAAAATAAATAAATAAAAACATCCCAAACGTCCCTCAATCTCCAAGATAGGTGACCAAGCAAGGTACGGAACAGTGACTATAGTAGGAGGTCATCGTGCAAAGGAAAAAAATGTATGCACATAGGATTGTCTCTGGAAGTATTCGCAACAAACTAGTAACAGGGATTACCTGAGAACGGGCAGGAGACAGAGGGCAGTGGGTGAAAATGAGACTTACCTTGTTCCTGTGTATACTCTTTTAAATGTTTATCTTAGGCACGAATAAGCATGCGCTTGATACACATGAATACCCAAGGTGTACAACAATTGGAATTGACCAGTGAATGGGAACAAATTCAGAGGTAGCTCTATGGATTTACAAGTTTTCCAAGAGAATCTTCCAAGTGTCCTTGAGGTGTTCATTCATTACAGCACATGGCAGTATTATACATGAAAAGAGCTGGGACCGCAGTGCCTTGGGACTTCTGGCCGGAAAGAGAATGGTTTGTTCATGTTTGAAATATGCTCAGATTTATCACTTGATTTCTAGAATTTTATACTGCAAGGGACCTCGACAGTTATTTAGTCCAATATCTTTGCTTTATCTTTGCTTTATTCTCAAACACTGAGCCCAAGAAGCTGTCTAGCAGATCCTATGCAGCACAGCGGGGCAGAACTCGCCTCCTGATTGTTTGGCCATAGGGCATGGTGAGACTGATGTGGATCATCAGTTTATGATTCTTGGGGTTTTTTTGTTTTTTTTTTTTTGTTTTTTGGTTTTTGGTTTTTTTAAGACTTTATTTATTTGCCAGAGAGAGAATGAGAAACAGAGAGCATGAGAGGGAGGAGGGTCAGAGGGAGAAGCAGACTCCCTGCTGAGCAGGGAGCCTGATGTGGGACTCGATCCCGGCACTCCAGGATCATGACCTGAGCCGAAGGCAGTCGCTTAACCAACTGAGCCACCCAGGCGCCCCTGTTTTTTTTTTTTAAGGGTCGTTAACCAGTGGTTGTACTTTATTTTTTTTTTATTAACACATAATGTATTATTTGTTTCAGGGGTACAGGTCTATGATTCATCAGTCTTACATGATTTTTTTTTAAATTCCAGTTTTCATCAGTCTGACTCTGCCCTTAAAAAATAAAGAGTCAAATAACTCATTTAGAGTTGCAGAAAGCACTACGCTAGTTTACACAAGCACACAATTTTTGTGACCTAAGTCTTTCCCTCTAGCCTTTTCTAAAATGTAAGTCCTTTTCTGTTTCTCTCTTTAAAACAAGTCAGTGTTTGCTTAGTTGTCATAATATTAGTTGTTGTGTTGGTCAGTCTCAAGTGATTGGTTTTCCTCTTGTGCAAAATCTTAAGTGTTACGGATTATCCTTGTCTATGTGTGTTTTCCCCTCCCTTCTTTAGTTGTTGAGAAAATACTTTCCCTCCTTTCCTCAGTGTATGGTGATTCTTGTTTTTCTCATTGTGCAAAGAAAAAAATTAGAGGCCAACTGTACAGTTCCAATTCTTTAATAACAACTGTGTTTATTTGCCTATGGTGAGGCGCTCCAGAGGAGCATTTTCTCCTTACACATTATTTTCTTCTCTGGTGATAATGCTACTTCGCTCTAGAATGGGGGTTGGTGCTTACATCACCAGCACCATCAACCCCAACTTCTACCCAATAATCTGAACAAATAGAAAATGGTGGAGGGTGAGTGAAGGTCACTGTCTCCACCTGCTGAGACGAAGCTCCTTCCCTCCCTGGTCCCCCCTACTCCAGTCAGAGGAGGAAGATGAGGACAGGGAGAGAATAAGGGTGACCACCATGGGACACAATGGCAAGAGGTTCACCCCGGGGGTCATGGTGCCTGTTTGGCCCTATAGTTCTTGGAACTGCTTCAGTCTAACACTTACCTTCCAAACTCTCTGACATTCTGTGCAATTTGAGAAGCATTTAACTGGGTTAGGTCTGAAGTCACAAGGCATGTCTATTCTGTCAATCCAAGAGTCAGGACACCCGAATGTTAGCTCCTGTTGTCACATCTATTACATACATTATGAGGGGCACGTGGACCCAGCTATATCAGTCACTTGGATGGCAACGAGAATTCTCTAATTCCTAACATTCACAATGTAGGCTTGGACCACATCAGTGTTTTCAAACCGACACAATTATAAGAATCCCCTGGAGGCCCTCTTGAAAATAAAAGATTCTGAGCTCTCACCCGTGGAGACCTTTACTCAGAAAATCTGGAATGGGGCCCAAATTCTGTGTTTTTCACAAGAAATCCTCAGTGGTTATTATTATTGAGAAAGTGTCAGAACATTTCCAGAAATTCTCCAGACCCTTAAATGCTACGATAACTTCCTCTTGCGATTGTTCTCTTTTGTCTATTGTGTTCTTCTATTTGACATTGTCCTTCCTCTACCTTCGCAGGTTTTACACATACCCAGGCTTATTTCCCAACTCCAACTAACAATTGCTGGTGGACAAAGGGCTTCTGTTCTTTCATACTGTGCCCCGCTGGATGGTTCCCATTCTCCCTTACACATCCACTCTCCACCCTTCTCCGCCTGATCCCTGCTGTTGGAAGTGAACTTTAGACCACATCAGTGGGCTCCTTTGTCTTCCGACTTCCAACTGGGTTTAACCAAGGGGAGGCATCAACAAGAGAGGAGAGAATGGGAGAAGAATAATACTGGATTATTGATAAACCTCACCCCCAGCCCCTCTTGATTACTCACGGGATCACTGTGGGGTGGCTGTGTCCTTCCACAGCCCTCGTGGGGGTCTTTCTTATAGAGAAGACCTACTGGGATTCTGTCAGGTGTAAGGCTGGAAACATTGTAGCCCCAACACTGTTGCTAGCCCCAAGTTACTGTCCTACCTTTTATAGATACGCCTTAACCCTTCCCAAGCCTTTTTTACCTTATTCTTTTTTTTTTTCTTTTTAAGTAAGCCCTACACCCAATGTGGGGCTTGAACTTAAGACCCCGAGGTCAAGGGTCGCATGTTCTAATGACTGAGCTAGCGAGGAACCCCAACCCCAAGCCTTTTTAAATAGTCCCTTTGTTTAAACTTCCTCAGTTACTCTGAATATGTCATCTCTGCTGCCAACACTTTGGTTGGGACCATGATTTACTTTCTCTCTTTCCTATGTGCTATTTATATAAGAAGGGCTTTCTTGTTTCTTATTAGAAATAATAGAAATGGGAGATGTAGAATTAGAAATGGAAAGAATAGAATTCTAGGATTTGAATGGCTTTCAATTTATCTGTTGCAGCTTACCGCCAAATGCCAGAATACTTCATAAAATAGATCTGCTTCATCCGGTTCATTACAACTTCTCAAATATTTGCTGGCAATTATCATTTTTCCCCTCTAGGCTAAATATTATCAATTCAATTCCTTTGACAATTCTTCATGTAGCATGGTTTCTAGATCCTTCTCCAGCCTGGCCATTGAGTATGGACCTCTGGGTGCGTTCTTAAAAAGTCTAGAGAAACATTTGCAAAGTAAGCCAAATGTGGACCAGAGTCTCACCTAACTGGAAAAGAACCCAGACCTCCGTAACCGAGAGGCATATGGGAATAAACGGGTGCAGCCCGAGGCTCTGGCAAATGGAGCCTAGATGGAAAACAGGTCCATAGGTGGAGTCCCTGCTAAGGGGGAGGCACACGTCCCCACTAACATTTGGCATGTTACGGTTCCACTCTTGAATTTATGCTTTACTTTTTCTTCTGTACTTTTTTGTTTCTACTAAGGAGGGAACAGAAATGGAATTCTAGTCAGGCTAAGAATTAAAATAAAAAAAAATAGGGGTGCTTTAAATTCCCATGGTCTGGAAATCCACAGTCTCCTTACCCCCTACCAATCCAAATGCCTTCCTTAGGCTTCCAGTCTTCTGGCCAGAGGTCAGTAGGTCATTTGTGCAAAATGGTACAGAGCCTGCAGCACAAGACATTTTCTAGAGTGCTGAGCTCCTTGAATTCTCATTCTTAGACTCTGCAGGCCTCAATGTCATGGAATTATCACGGCCACGAACCTTACATTACCTGATTCAGGCGACCTAGAGGATCCAAAGTGAGAAATCTTTGTCCTAAATTACAGACTAATTTACTGGTCGAGCCAGGATTAGAACCCAGATCTCTTCCCTCTCTATAATCCCGCCTCTCTCTTGAGTTAATTTACTCCATTCTTTTACCACAAATTACAAAACTGAAATGAAGAAATTAATACAGCTAGTACCCAAAGCATCCAAGTCAGACAGAGGCAGCCTTTGAATTGCACAATTGCCTTGAAAGTACTGGGGAAAGATAGCTATGTGCACATTACATTTGACACAACCTCAAGGGTGAAGCAACCCATCATTTTATTTAGAGGGTTCAACTACCTGTCTTTGCATCTGAATCTAAACTTTATAGCATTTAAATCTTGTCAATTAACTGAGCCAAGGCACTAAAAGGAAGGCTCACATTATCAGATTCCTGAGTTTAAATCACCAGTCTTCCATCAACATAAGGCCGTCCAATTTGTACAAGCTCCATAGGACCTCAGGGATAATCCAGTTCAATAAAATTTAGGCCAAGAATGTGCAAAATTTACTAACTTACAAAGCAGAATCAGGCTTGACTCTTATTCCTGTGCTCTTTCATATGCACTGTGCTTGTTTCCTGGAGGACTGTGCCTTCTTTGTTTAACTGGCTCTCAGAACAGGGCATCAGATATTTGCATATAGCATTTAATACAACTGCATCATTAGATTCAAGGTAAGTATCTCCTTTATTAAATGAGAAAGGGAAGGGAGTGACATAAATGTCATCTTAAAAAGCTACTACTAATTATAGGGAATGCCTACTACAAACAGATTTGAAGGACTTAACAAATAAAATTCAGAGAACTATCAATGAATTTTAACCAGCTGATAGGAAAAGGTGGTCAAGTTTGAAATGCCCTAACAAAAGTCAATTTGCATCCACTATTCCAAGCTGAACTATATGGCAAGAGAGAGTCTGACACTAAGAGAACTCTTTGTAGCAATTTAGGGAAACGACTGTGTAAGCTGAAGAAACTGTAAGCTGAAGAAACCACTACCGAACGGTGCTGAATTTCAAGACTCTGGCAGATCAATAGGGCAAAAGTAGTCAAAACTCCAGCAGATGCTGTTGATGGAAGAACCTCTGGTGCATCAGATGATCCCAAATTGAGCAAGCTCATTCAATTCCAGGTGGCTGAATGCCTCCCAGGGACAAATCACCGTGATATCTGCAAGAGAGGGAAGAACTTGTAAGCCAACCTCTCCCCCTGCCCCTCAGAGCCTCAAGAAGACTTCTTTTGCTCAAGAAGACATCCTTCGGGCAGAGACACCTCACTCCTCTCTCCTATTCATTGTTTCAGTAGCCAGGAAGTTATCTAGAATGGCCCTGCCACCCAGGAAGAATTTGACTGATTGCTTAATTAATCCCTTGCAGAGTTCTGATGCCCCCAGAACAGGCCCCCCTAGGTAGGCATCTTCATTGGTTTCATTCTATACCTCTTTGGAGAGATGACCCAAGGTTTTTGACTGGAGCTAGCCTGGGGGGGTGGAGGGGTGCAGGTCACTGATCAAACGGGGCCTCCTCAAAACACAACCACTATGGAAGGAACACGAGTGGAATTCTAGTCAGGCCAAGGCTTAAAATGAGAAATAGAAGCATTTTAAATTCCCATGACCTGGAAATCTACTGCCTTCTTACTCCCTACCCATTCAGATGCATTCTTCTCCGACTCACTTTTTAGTTCCTTTACATTTTGAAATGTCTACTATATCCAGTCACATACTGAGAAGTAATCTCAAGGCATCTGCTAATCCAATTTTTTGCTTCAAGCAATAAAATATTATTATCCCTGAATTACAGAGAAGCTGACTAGAACACAAAGAGATTAAATACCTACAGAAAAAGCAGAGTTATAGAGATCAGACTAAAACCAAGTCAAAGATCTCAGATCTCCCCTCAGTATAAAGCTCTTTCCAGTATTCCAAATATGTTGGCAGAGTTAAGCATATCCTCCAGAACCCAAAGCAAATCTGCTAGTCTTATGTACATCTGGCCAAAATACAAAAGCAGTTGATTTAGGAGAATAGCAAATGACCTTTATAAAATAGCTGGAAAATGTATTTGAGATCTCAGGAGTGGCATTTAACTGTTAAAAGCAAATACAATGAGAATTGCCTGGTAAGGACACTGATTACTGATTACACCATTTATCAAAAGTGTACTGGATGAGTTGAAAACATGTCCACTCAACAACCTGCACAATGGGGCACCTGGGTGGCTCAGTCTGTTAAGCGTCTGCCTTCGGCTCAGGTCATGATCCCGGGATCCTGAGGTGGAGTTCCCTATCGGGATCCCTGCTTGTCAGGGAGCCTGCTTCTCCCTCTTCCCACCCCCTCTCATGCTCTCTCTCTCGCTATTTCTCTCTCTCTCAAATAAATAAATAAAAAACTTTAAAAAAAAAAAAAACCTGCGCAATGGTGTTCATAGCAGTATTATTCATAATTGTGAAAATTTGGAAGCAACAAAATATCTTTTAATAGGATAAGCAAATTGTGATACAGCCATAGAATGAAATATTATTCTGTGGTAAAAAAATGAACTGTCAAGCCATATAGGACATGGAGGAACTTTAAATGAGTAAATATTGCTAAGTGAAAGAAGCCAGGCTGGAAAATCTATATACTGTATGATTCATGACAATCTGGAAAACGCAAAACTTTTGAGAGTAAAAAGATTCGTGGTTGTCATGAGTTTGTGGAGGGTGGGAGAAGGGATGAACAGGTGGAGCACAGGGGATTTTTAGGGCATCTATTCTGTATATACCTGTAATGATGGATACACAACATTGTGCCTCTGTCAAAACCTGGACAACACGAAGAATGAATCCTAATATAAGCTGTGAATGTTAGTTAATAATAATGTTACCAATACTGGTTCATCATTTGTAACAAATGTACCACACTAATGCAAGATGCTGATAATAGGGGAAACTAGGTACAGGTGTATGGAGGAGCTCCATACTTTCTGCTTAAGTTTTCTGTAAACCTAAAACAGCTCTAAAAAATAAAGTTCAGGGTTTTTAAAAGGAAGATCCAGTTGTTTTCATTCATATCCAACAAATCAAATTATACTAGCCGACTAAAAAATATTGTATTGGAGTGCCAGAGGATATGTAAAAAGAGGAAGTTGGTTAGGGAGTGGTTTGTCTGGTAGAGTGAAAATGTTCTCCAGGCCCCTCCCTTGTTTCCAGTACCTCACTCTGTGTCCTCAGATTGTCACTTCATTCCTCTCTGTCTCAGATTTCTCTTCGGAAGAAAGGATGAAGTTGGGATAGATGAACCCTGAGAATCTTTCTACCATGAAAGTCTACAACTCACCATTAGATGTCCTCAAGTGTTGTTTAACAGAACAAGAGGATTTAGTATCTTTGGACCTTAGCTTGATCTCTGTTAGAGTTTTTGCCTCTGGGCACATATGTACTTGCTTAGGAGATTAAACTAAGCCCCACACTTCTATGTCTTCAAGGATCTGCTGCCTTAGCTATTTCTTGTAATTTTTCATGGCCCTTTGAGGCCTAAAGTATGGATAGTGGTGAAGTTCCAAGTGAAAGTCCATGGCCTTGGGTGGCTCACCTGTTCCTAGCCCCTCCATGCCTGGAATGTCATCTCCAAACCTATGGGAAAAAAAGAAAAATTAGCTGACATCAGAGTGAAAGGATCTCATACCGAGAGCTTCCTGACTAAGGGGGAAAGAAGAGGTTTAACTTTTTGTCTTTGAGAAATATCTTTTATTTGCATTGACCTGGGGAAAAGAAAGTCACTCAGGCTGGTTTCAGACAGTGTGTCCCTGTGGAGAGATTTTCCCCTCCTAAAAATTTAGCCTAAGACAACTGAGAGCCAAATAGAACTATCCCTGGGGCAATTTAGTCAAGCTCCACTTTTAAAAATAGAAATTGGAATGAGGGTCGCCCGGGTGACTCAGTCGGTTGGGTGTCTGCCTTCGGCTCAGGCCATGATCCCAGGCTCCTGGGACCCAGCCTCACATCAAGCTCCCTTCTCAGCGGGGAGTCTGCTTCTCCCCCTCTCTCCGCTTCTCCCCCTGCTTGTGCTCTCTTGCGCTGTCAAATAAATAAATAAATAAAATCTTAAAAAAGAAAAAAAAGAAATTGGAATGAAAACACAGTACAAAAGACATTTAAATGATTAATTCATCCATTTGGTTAGCTACCCAAAAGCATTTATCAAGCATTTACTATGTGCCAGGCATTGTACTAAGCATAGGGAATTGAGGAAAAAACTAATTTTCTCTGAGGAACTTCAGTTTCAGAGAACAGATGTAAATAAACAAATGTAATGTAAAACAATACAAGTTATGACAGCTGAATGTACAAAATGCAAACATGGAAGCCATGATCACATTTGTCTAAGAGAGTCAGTCATGGCTTCAAAAGAGAAATTAACATATGAGAGTATGTTAAATAAGTAGGATTTTGCCAAGAAGAGAAAGAGAAAAATAAAGAACTGAAGACTTAACATTTGAAGCCATAAAAATAAACTCTATGTTCTGGAAATGGAAGTGCTTTAGTACTCCAAATCAAACCACAAGGTGTACTGGTGAAGAGGAGTGGTCAAGAAAAGTCTGGAAGGTCAAGTCAAAGGTTGCTGTGACAGGCTCCATTTGCCATGTTAAGTGTGACCACAGACCTGAGGGGTGAGAAAGAAAGCCTTCCAGGGCTAACAACGTGATTCAGCAAAGATTGTTGTAGAGAGGAAAATAGAGGATGGGGTGGAAATCTTTGTAGTCTATTTAATATTGGGAGCATTAATTTCTCAAAAAAATAGAAAGTCTTCTTTTTCATTTTGGTCTTACCCTTTCACACCTTTCTTAGGAGGCTTGCTCTTGAATTGGCGAGTCTGTCTCTGCTTGAACTTGGGGGGCCCCTTGTGTGGGGTAGTGGGACCCTGGTTTGAAGCTGGAGGAACCAAAGTAGCGTTGTCACTCATTCTGATGTCCCTGGGTGTCTGATGGTTCTCTTTCAGGTTCCTTAGATGGTGAGAGGAAAACAAAAAAGGCCCTTCAGGGTACAGGGATCATTGCTTCTTAGATCCTCACTGGAAACGCCAGAAAAGCTCAGGACTTTGTGTGCACAAAAGGGAAGAACTTACCGACTTTTAAAGAGATTTTCAAGAAAATATGGTATAAATCAATGGAGGCACTCAGTGTAGTTGGATGTAGACTGACAACAGATAGATTTTTACAAACCAAAAATCTAGGTAGATGTGTTGTGTCAATAAATCATCACTAGCTTCCTCTGTGAATTTATTATGATATGTACTGCCCTTCTGTGCTCACCACTTCCACCATCTGTGAAGAGAGGGAAATGGACTAAATGCTATCTATAGTCTTTACAGCACTGATACATTCTTTAAGCTTTAAATATTTTTCCACCCAACTACACAATAACCTGACTCTTAATGTTTATTTCCTCATATTTTATGGGCTTTTTACTTTACAGTCCTTACTTTGTTTAAACCTCATGTAATCAAGATACTTCTTTCCTAGTTCTGGGGAACAACAAAGTAGTCATCTGGACAGGGGAGCTCTGAGCCAGAAACACCTAACCCCCATGTAGTATGTGATACATCCCAGTACACACACACACACACACACACACAGGAAAATCAATGGAAGGTGATTAAGTAGTAAGTTTATGCTTTAACTCCATATCCAGACATGAGGTTCTTTCGCCACCCATTTCTCTGAAATGTTCTACATTTTCTCCTATCCAAATCATGGACTTATCCAATATGATTTTCACAGACTTTGATTTTAGCTATAGAAATGTACATTGTCATTCTTCAAGTACAAATAGAGATGCATTAACAAGATAAATTTTAAAAGTAAATATGTTAAGCTAAAGGATGACTTTTCTTCTTTCTCCTTTTCTATCACAAAAGTTGATAACACTTTTCCTGGGAAGGAAGATTCTAAAAAATTTCCAAAGAACTTCTAAGTAGCCTTAATCTCTTACCCTGAGCTAAACCCTTCCATGCTCTGCTACCTGGAAGATTTATTTATTTATATAATCTACAAATTATAGATTTATGCTAATATTCTTAGCTTCAGCTCTCCCTGACCATCTTTGGCCCATGCTAACCATCTTTCTCTTTCTCCACCACACTGAACATGCCTCAAATGTTATATTGTATGACTTCGAGTTCATCAACTTTTTCTTATTACTTTCAAAATGAGTTTAAATTATTATCCTTGCCTAAAGGATATTTTTTTCCTTATCTTCTTTTCCTCTTACTATTTTCATTTTCTCCTGCTAGTTCTCAACTTCTTCCACAGAAACACATTGACTAATCTGTGACTAATCACCAGGGCCAACTGTTGAAGAGCCCTTATCATGTACCAGAGAGGTGACTCTCATCAGCACTTGCTGGGTAATCTTCTGTATCCCTTCAACATCCTATTAATTTATGTCTGGTCTTGAAATTCTGCCTTAAGCTTTCCTTGGATTCCTTTGACATCCCCAAAAGCAGCCCCAAAGAACTTAAAACTCACACTTGATTTCCATCTTTCCTTGATTATACTTCCCCTTTTTTCTTGTAAATTTCTTTTGCATATTTACATATATAATTTTGAAGTTGCACCTCTAGGCTCAGATGGAGTTCCCGTTCCTATCTAGGTGTGATGTATTATGTAAAGGGATTCTCTTCAGAAAGAGTTATATAACAGTTGCCTGGTTAATCCCTGGATCCTCATGATACTCAGGGTTTGCACTATAGGTAAGAATTTTATGTTTATTGTGCATTTCATGTATAATATTTCATTTTTGAGTATGTAGGATAATCAACTAACTCACAGAGTGTTTCTGTCATGGATGTGCCCTCCAGTGCTCCCTGTAAAACCTTTGGCAGAAGCAGAACAAATATGACCCTTTCCTGCCTTGGAAGTTAGTCTTGTCCACTACACATATCACCAGAGGCTAAACTCACTCTGCCCATGCTTTCCCAGGAATTAAAAGGGCATTCCCATGCTAAATAATCCTCAATCTAATGTCAGACTTGCTTTTAGCTGTAAGAAGATGTTTCACATTTTTCCTCCCCAAAGTGTCAAGTAATTCATTCCTTTGTGAGACAGAATGGCTTTCTGTTTTTAAAGCAATGTTAGCCCTTCCCCTTTTGAAGAGTATGAACTGTTGTTCTGCAGAAGGAAGTGGATGCAGCAAAGTAATATGTCAAAGCATGGTTTTGTAGGGAACCAGGGTTCATGTCACCTTGGACCCAAAGCAGCAGAGCTCAGCTGTAGGAAGCTACGGAGGATGATCATCCATAAATCCCAGCTAAGGAAGAGCAGTTTCAGAAGGTCCGGAGTCAGGATTTCTGATGCTGCTATTATCACCCCAGACTTCCAGGTCTCTCCTTCTCAGCAAAGATATAAGCAAATAGACAATTCTATTATTGAAGGGCTAAGAGAGGGGGTGAGGAGGAGATAGGTGCAGGAGTGGTTTCCCTGCGCTGATGGGGTTGGGCCCATAAATGTCACCAGAATCCTGCTGTGGCAGAGAGAATCAAATAATGTGGAAAGCCAAGAAAGACCCAAACCAAAGCCATGAAAAGACAAAAACAAAAGTCCAGCTAGTACCTTCTTTCATACTGGAACAAACAAACACTTTGACCTCCGAGGAAGAAGGTTAAGCCACCCACACTGCGCTGGGGTCATTCCAGCTGCTCTTGACTCTCTTTCTCCTTATCCTCACACTCTCATGTCCTCCCTCTTGTATTTTGGTCTTTTTCAAGCACACCCTGGGAGTAAAGAACTGTTTGTTCTGTGGTCATTTAGTGCCCCAGATCCCTCCTTTCCCAGAAAACTGGAAACCACAAAAAAGGAGTCAGTTTAGGGTTCTTTCAAAATGAGTTTAGTAATCAAGTTTTGCAGTGACCTTGTAATAATCAAATTTTACTTATTAGCTGGCTGCATGACATTATAAGGCAATTCGGATGTATTTCCTTCATGTTTTCTCCCAGTTTCATTCCTGGCCCCAGTCCAGGCCCACTGGTTCAGTGTGTTTTCTTCCATTTCTTTATTTTAGAGCCAGATCAACCCTCCACCACCCACAAAGCCTTGCAATTACAACCTACTTCAACCCCAGAAGTTGAGAAATACTCACAGAGTTGAATGTTGCTCCCATACACTGCCCAGTTGCCTTCTTCAAAGTAGATGAATAAAGGATCTTTGCATCCTGATTTATCTCCCTGTAATACTCACATGCTTCGTAATCCCACTGTTATGAGCTTAGAGTACCAACCCAGGTGCAAAGAAGTTAAAGGAACAAGGGGTGAGACTGGGACAGGCTTAGGAGTTTTCTGATAATTGACTACTCTCACAAAACTGACTTGGGCTCTCCTTTGTCAATAAATAGGTATTGAAACCACAAATGCACACAAAGTGTTGATATCCAGGGGTATATTTGTAGTTTGTGATTCAATATCTCTTGTCTTCCTTCATTCCCACCATTAGTCCTTGCTATCTCCCATTCCATCCCTTTCCCTGACACCCCAATCATAAGTCAATCCCCACCGCAAACACATCATGTCATAATTCTTATGGGAAAGAGGAGAGTGAATCATAGTGTCCCCTGCTTCGGTGGGGACACTGGGATGGTGATTGTGTGAGCAATGACATTGAAAAGTATAAAATATCTGTCCCTAATAGGTTCTGTATATATTTCCTCAGTAAGATGGAACCACAAATCAAAAATGACACAAAACTCAGTGATACTTGACAGAGAAAGAGCCCAGCTTATAGCTGATAACTGTTAACTGATGGCATTTATTTGAAAATTGACTGCTGGATCTTCCATATCAAAGGCTTCAGGGTATAAGGCTCAGGCTACAATTCAATTCATTGGTACACTGGCTTCAGTCTTTCGATTACACTGAGCCACTAGTATTAATTTGTACATCACTTTATATAGACCTTAGTCCATATACTAGTATCATTAAGCTCTTTTGAAAAATTTATCATAGAGAAATAAAGTGGTTTATTCAAGACTGCATATAAAGTTAGTAATGCAGCCAGGATCAAGGCCCAAATCTGGGAACACCTTGCATATTCTGCTATCTTTCTATTATACTACAGCAAAGCAGAATAGACCAAGATGCATGTGTTGTTGGTGTCTCTCAGGCCTTACCATGAATTGTAATGTGCCTTCCCTAGATTGTTACTTGTTAGAGAATTGCACTCCATAAGATTATAGAGAAAGAAGGTCAATTTATCCTTCCCAGGAGGGGAAAGATTCTAACTGACAGCCCCAAGCAGATTACATGGGCAGCTAAACAGCTTATGGGGTTTTTTTGATAAGCTTTCCTTTGGTCTTCACCAAAATTAGAGGAGTTTTGAAGCAGCAAATGCATTGCAGAGCCAGCAGAGTGTTTGGTGTCTGGATGAGTCTTTCCACTCTCACCTCTGTGTCTCCATTACCATTCAGACCTTCCTCTATTCTTATACACCAGGCACATAGATATTGAGATTCTTATCTGTGAAACCCTCACCCATTCTCTATTTCTTTGTTGAAGAACTGCAACTCATACAGACAGTAAAAAGAGCAATAAGCTGAATGTTCTGGAGTGTTGTTACTCAAAGTGTAACAGCATCCGCACCACTTGAGCATTTGTTAGAAATGCAGGACCTCAGGGGCGCCTGGGTGGCTCAGTTGGTTAAGCGACTGCCTTCGGCTCAGGTCATGATCCTGGAGTCCCGGGATCAAGTCCCGCATCGGGCTCCCTGCTCGGTAGGGAGTCTGCTTCTCCCTCTGACCCTCCCCCCTCTCATGTGCTCTCTCTCTCTCATTCTGTCTGTCTCAAATAAATAAATAAAATCTTTAAAAAAAATAAAATAAATAAATAAAAAGAAATGCAGGACCTCAGGCCCTGCTCCAGACTTACTAAACCAGAAGCTGTGTTTTAACAAGGTATCAAGGTGATTTATTTGCATAGTACTATTGTAGACCCATGTGCGGTTTCCTCATGCCATAT